ATTTCATAATGAATTTATAGTCTAATAAAATCTCAAGATCTTTTTTTTTTTTTCAGACAAACTGATGTCCAACTAAGGCCTCCATTTTGTGAAATTGACTTTTGGAACCCAAGTGTGATTTTAAATTTATTTCTGTTAAATTTCATCTTACTAGATTCAGCCCAATTCTCTAGCAGATTAAGGGTGGTTTTTTTGGGGGGGCTGTTCACTCTTATCCAGTGTGTATTTTCCCTCCTAGCTTTGTGTCATTTGCAAATTTTAGGAGCATACATATCATTGATGCCTTTATCCAGGTCATTGATAGAAGTATTAAACAACATAGGGCCAAGAATAGATGCCTGGGGCATTCCATTTGAACATTTGGAAGCACTGATATCAGTCCATTAAGCCAAACCTAATTCTGTGTTATTGTTGATTCAACCAATTTCAAATCCAATTGTATTCCTCTTCTATATTCTTCTCCCTTCCCTATTTTGGCCCCTTGGTGGACCAGTTCAACTTTGCACTATCTTGTGCTCTTGAATTCTCTGTTTCCTTAATAATAATAAGAATAAATGACGTTTATATAGTGCTCACTATGTACCAGGCTGTGTGCCAAATGCTTTACAATTATTATCTCATTTGCTGCTCCCAAGAACCCCAGGAAGTAGGTGCTATTATTATCCTTATTCCACACATGAAGAAACTGAGGCAAACAGAGGTTAAGTGACTTGCCCAGGGTCACACAGCTAGTGAGTGTTTGAAGCGAGATTTGAACTCAGGTCTTCACTCTAGTCTCTGATGATCAAATGGTTCTTCAGCTTGCCATCTCTGATCCCATATACCCTTGATCTCCTCCTCTCCAATCTTCTCCAAAAGATTGCACTCATCATCATCCTTACACTTCCTCTAATCTTCAGTCTCTTCCTATTGACTGCTTCCTTCTTTGCTGCTTGGAAAGTCTCCCCTTTAAAAAAAAAAAAAGAAAAGAGAAAACCTTCACTAGGAAGGAAGGAAGGAAGGAAGGAAAGGAAACAAGCATTTATTATGTGCCAGGCACTGTGCTGAGCATTTACCGATATTATCTCATTTGTTTATCATAACAGCCCTGGGAGGCAGGCACTATTACTATCTTACATTGCGTTTTCCTCTATTCATGCTACAATCTGGCCATACTGGCTTATACTGGCTATTTTGCTGTTCTGTACCTTTGCCCTGGCTGTTCATTATACCTAGAATACTTTTCCTTCTGACCTCCAACTTTTAGACTCCCTGGCTTCTTTTAAGACTCATGCCTAGTCTGAAAAATATACAATAAAACAGTTTACCAGGTCGTGTTACTTCCTGTAGGGGACCTTTTCTGCTTTCTGTTGGGATTAGAGCCATCCCTTCCAAGGTTATCTTCTAACTACTTTGGATTTATCTTGCATGGTCTGACTTATATGTGTTGTTTTCCCCATTAGGATATATAAGCTCCTTGAGGTCAGGGTTCATTTTTCACTTTTGGTGCTTAATAAATATTTGGTTGATTGATTCTTTGTGTCACTAGCGCTTAGCAGAGTGCTTTTGACAAATTAAATGCTTAGCATGTAATTGTTGATTAATTTTTCCATCTTTTAATAATCAACCCATTACATATTAACATAAGTAACATTTTCAATAAAAAATAAAAACTAAATTTTTCTAAAACAAAGAAGATTAATGAAAAGATTAGCATTGTTTTTACAGTAAATCTTTTTTACATCTGGCTTAATAGAGTCTCCTATCTATGTCTGCATTCAGTGTGCTGTGATTTGTTGTTTTGGTTGAAATATAAGAAGAAAATCTAGCGTCACCTATATAGATAATTGAAAATAATGGAAATAATAGGCAAATAATGTCTCAGAGTTGTTAGGAAAATAATTTTGACTTCAAAAATACCCTGAAAAGGGTCTTAGGGACCTCTAAGGATCTGTAGGCTCTTACTTTGCCAATTACTGCCTTGGCTGTGTCTTCAGCTGAGCCGCTAATTTTGGAGCCACCATTTATAATTCATTTCTCTATCCAATGGAGATGCTATGGTTGGTAATGTCCCCCTGGCAGAAGGGACAGTAACTGTCCTTAGTCAGTGTTCTCATTCAGCAAAGGTTCCTTCAGTTCCATCAGTTCAAGCCTTTTCCCAAGCCATGGTTGCACCAGAAGGTGCAAAGACCTATGCTAAGAACAGGTACCAGCCTTTGACCTCTTCTTAAACATGTTTCTTAGCTCCTTTTCTAAGTAAGGTGCTCAGTAAATGCTTTTCATGCATTCACTCATTCATTCACTCACTCATTCATTCATTCATTCATTCATTTCTTCTGAAGCCTTCTCTGAACTTAAAAAAAAAAGTTTCCTTACCTCTTTTTGATTGTGAACTATCACTGCCCTTCCCTGGGTCCTCTTAGTTCTTCTTCCACCTAACTTAGGGTCAGAAATCCATTTCAGGACTTCTTGTAACCCCTTGACTGAGCTGTATCTCCCCAGATTGTCATTTCTTCCAACAGAAAAAGGACTGAGAGACTTTGTGATAAGGAAACAATTTTAACCTCATCCCAGTAGCCCCTCTGTTCTAGACAGAACAGCAAATACTGTGCTGGCTAGAGAATTCTGAGAAGACCCTATGACCTTTCCCCCAGTAAGATATCCCAACGTGGTCTCTTTCTCTGACCTATCTACAGACAGATAAGACAAGCATGCTCTGTTATAATCAAAATACTGACTACCCACACAGGGCAGTATGATATTTCCTTACTTATCCAGCAAGTAGATGGGCGCCAACTCTGCACAGAGAGCCCTATGGGGAGTCGGCAATCAAAGAATTAGAGATTTGAGGGCTTGCTGTCACAAAATATTGGGGACCACCTAAAATAAGATAAAGCTTAAGGAAAATATGAAATAGTACCTTTTCAACTGCAAAAGAATATAGTGCAAAGTATGAGTGTGGAAAGGAATATAGAGGTGGTAGCAGGTGGATGGAGTTGGGTCATGTGGAAAGAACACTGGTCTAGAAGTCAGGAGACCTCAGCTCTATTTCTGACTATGGTTATGATTTTGGGGAGATCATTTCTCTCTCTGACCTTCAGATGTTCCCTCATCTATAAAATGAGAGAGTTGGGTGTGATGGAAGCAGCTCCCTTATAGCTTTACAAAGTATTTCACTCACAATAAACCTCTGAGGTAGGTAGAATGAGTGGTATTAGCTTCATTTTAGAGATAAACTAATTAGTGATAATAATAATAATAATAATAATAATAATAATAATAATAATAATAGCTTTTCTATAGAGGTTTAAGGTTTGCAAACCACTTTAACAAATATTTCATCTGATCCTCTCAACAGCTCATTTTACAGATGAGGAACTGAATATGAAAGAGGTGAGGGAACTTGCCTCAAGTCACACAGCTAGTAGGTGTCCAAGGCAGAGATTTGAACTCAGGTCTTCCTGATTTCAAGTCCCTCATGCTGTCCATGAACTACCTCTCATCCTGGTTCTTGATAAATAAAATGACTTGCCTTTGATCATATAGATAGTAAATGTCTGAAGCCAGATTCAAAACCAAGCCTTTTCTTTTTTTTTTTTAAATAAATTTATTTATTTATTTTTAGTTTTCAACATTCACTTCCATAAGATTTTGAGTTCCAAATATTCTCCCCATCTCTCCCCTCCCCCTACCCCAAGACAGCACGTAAACTGATATAGGCTCAGCAAATACATTCATGTTAAATGTATTTTCACATCAGTTAGTCATGTTGTAAAGAAGAATTAGAACCAATGGGAGAAACCATGAGAAAGAAGAAATAAACAAAAAAAAGAGAGAGCAAATATTATGCTTCAGTCTACATTCAGACTCCATATTTATTTTTCTGGATGTGGAGAGCAGTTTCCATCATGAGTCTTTTGGAGTTGTCTTAGATCCTTTCATTGCTGAGAAGAACTAAGTCAATCAAAGTTAGTCATCACTCAGTGTGTACAATGTTTTCCCTGGTTCTGCTCACTTCACTCTGCATCAGTTTGTATACGTCTTTCCAGAAAACCAAGCCTCTCGTCTCCAAGTCAAGTGTTATATTTGCCACTCAATCATTGAGTCCGTCTGTTTCTGACATTTTATATCTCTAGAAGATGATGAATTCCATCAGAGTCCTTTCCTTTGAGAGATGGGACTCTATGGGTGTGTAATGTCATATTCTCAGATGAGGTCAGTTGTTTTTGAGTAACTATTTTTCTTTGGTATGAGAGAAGAATATAGTACATTATATATGTATATGTATATACATATATAAAATATATATAGTATATGATGTGGCATAGGAAAGGTGGTGAAGGTATGGAGTATATTAGGAAATCATGTTGATTTAAAAATGAAAATATCAATGAAACTTAAAAAAAACCCCACCAGGGACAACAACAAAAAAGCATATCTGACAGAGTAATGAGACCTGGGTTAAATCAAGTTTCTGTGACTTATCCAGTAGATCTTAAGCTCCTTGGGGGCAGGGACTGTCTTTTGCCCCTTTCTGTATCTTTGGTGCCTTAGCATAGTGCCTGGCATATAATAGACACTTAATAAATGTGATTGCATGACTTATAAGGATAAGAAATTTAGCACTGGAAAAGATGTTAGACATTAGTCCAATTCCCCCATTTTATAGATATGGAAACAGGTACATAAGAGGTTAAGAGTGAGTTGATAAAGGTCACCCAGGTAATGCTATTTCCTATGTGCTCATTGAAAAGTCACTGGGCCTGCCCTGAGCCTCAGTTTCCTCAGTGGTAAAAGAGGTATAATGAAATTTGCATTCCCTATTTGAGAGGAGGGAAAAGATGAAGCAAGGTTAGCTTCGTGGAATCGGTGAGTATGGAAGGAATAAAAAAAATCAACTTTCCTGTGTAAGATGAGGCTCACTTATCTTCCTGAAACTCGTGAGGGATTATTGTAATTATTATTGTGGGTTTTTTTTTTCTGGGAAACATATGCATTTGATCCTCGATGTCTCCTTTCAGTCTGCAAGATGAATGTACATCGGCGCTGTGAAACAAACGTTGCACCCAACTGTGGGGTAGATGCCAGGGGGATTGCTAAAGTGCTGGCAGACCTGGGAGTCACTCCAGACAAAATCACCAACAGTGGCCAGAGGAGGAAAAAGGTAAATTAAGTGGCTGCTCTGAGCCTTGTAGTAAGTGGGATAATGGGATTCAGGAAGCCTGCTTTTCCTGGGCCCCAGAGAGTCACAGCATTTACTTGAAATAAGTTCTGTGTAAAAAAAAAGAAAGACTGTTCACCCTAATCCCTTCTCAGTTGTTGCCTTATTTTTCATTGGTCTGAAGGAAAGTTTGTCAAGAAAAGATCTAAGCTTAAAGAGCAGGACTTTGAAATTTCCTCCAGGAGAGAGGGAGGAAAACCTACCATCAAACCCCACTGTGTGCAGGAATATACTCCCATGTGCCCAGGCTGGCAAAAGATCAGCATTAGGGGAGGGAATTCACCTGTGGTATTACTCTAATGAGGATAAATGTCAAAAACAAAACAAAACAAAATAAAAACCTTGGGACACCATACTTTTCTAGAGGGGAAGGAAAGTAGAAACAGTATAGTGTCGCAATGCAGCTACCCGTGAACGTGGTCAAAATTCCATGACATCAAACATCTGTGTCTTTCTTCAGAGAAACCAGTCTGATCTCCATCTGTATGGAAATCTAAATTCAGGAGAAAAAGATCCTTTTGTTACTCATCCTTCAGGGGAATGTGTGTGTCCATACATACATGCACACATATACCTATTATGTATGTATGTATGCATTACATAGATTATGTACATGTATATGTATTTAAACTTTGATGGTGTAAAACTACAGTAAGACTTTTGGGACATACTGTATGTAGTCAAATATATATGTATGTATATGTATACACACACAACACACACACCATACATGTACCACATGTACCACATGTCTATATGATATGTGTCATGTGTATATATATGTATATATCATGTGCATCATGTATACATGTATGGCATATGCATAGTATATATTTTTTCATAAGTCAGGGCCAACAGATGTAAGTCATTCCCCCAAGGCTTTAGCAGCAATTTTGTGTCCAAGGTCTTCTCCAACCTTGGCTTCCTGCCTAGAAGTTTTCAGAAATCTTTGAAAAAGTTGTTATGAGAAAAGTAGAAGCAAGTTAATTGAACTATAAATCTTGGCATGGAGGAATGAGTTCCATCACCAGTCCTTTCAAATATTTTATTGTGCTGTCTGGCCCTGGGCAGAAAATTAGGAGGACTTCCGTCTAACTTTCCAGAGTAATCTACATCAACCTACACTGAGAGCCCAGAAGAAAGCAAGCATGTCCAAGGAACTCTACTAGACCAGAAAAGCAAGAGAATCTCTAATCTTTCTTAATCATTACAGCTCACTTACATGGGCCATCCATTTCCCAGATAGCATGTGGCTATAGATGCTGTCTGCCCTCTTTCCCTTGTGACTCTCAAAAATGCTTTGGCCCTTGGCTACGGAGGGACAGATACATTTTGCCTTCCTAAAACATGTTTTCTAGTTTTTACCTTTAAAAAGTATTGTTGCAAAGACTTAAGTGGAAAATGTCACCCTTGCTAGGAGAATTTAACTATGATCTCCGTGTCTCTGGTGGTTATCTTCTCATTCCAGCCTTCTCATTTCCATATCCATCAAGAGGAATGAGACTGGATTGGACTCCAGGGAGCACAAGGAGTCAGCAGTTATCATGCCAGGCAGTATAAATATATTTCTTAGTCAAATTTTTTCAATTAGCAAGCTTTTTTCCCCTTTTTCTCGAAAACAAAGAAAAAGAAGAAAGAAAAACAAAACTCTTGTAACAAATATGCATAGTCAAGGAAAACAAATTCCCATGTTGGCCATGTCTAAAATTGTGTGTTTCATTCTGTACCCTGAGTCTATCATCTCTCTGTCTGGAAGTATGTAACGTATTTCATCGTCAAACCTCTGGAATCATGATTTATGATTATAAGAATCAGAGTTCTTAAGTCTTCAAAATTGTTTATCTTTCCAATGAAGATGTTATGGGATCACTTACTGTCTTGGTTCTTCTCACTCCACTCTGCACTCTGCATATGAGACTTCCCACATTTCTCTGAAACCACACCCTTCATCGTTTCTTACAGCACAGAGCTCTTCCATTACATTGATATATCCTAATATTTTTTAGCTATTCCCTGAGTGATAAACATCACTTAATTTCTATTTGCTTGCCACCACAAAAGGATAAATGCAATTTTATTGATATGAAATTATATATTTACATAAATTTAAATGTATGTAAATTAGATAAATACTTTTGTGTATGTATATATATGTGTGTGTGTGTGTGTGTATGTGTGTGTGTATGGTCTTTTCCTGGCAGGATATTCTTAAGGGGAGAGTCAGATAAATGTGTAGGATGGAAATAAGAACAAAGTAGAATCTTCCATTGACTTCCTTTTTCCCCTTTCTCTTGTGCCAGAAATAATGTAACAATGCAATCTTGTTATTGAATAAAATACAGTATAAAAAATGACATTAAAATCATAGATTTCTGCGCAGCTCTGGTGCCCCTCCAGCAGCTGTGCCTCCTCCAAATGTCCTGGGTCATTGTAAGGCCTGTTGGAAGGAGGCCAACGTGGATCGTTTAAGCAAGTGACATTGCCAAAAATAAGAGCTTATGATGGTGATATTTTTACCACTCGAATTCCATTGAATGCAAACACTGGAAAATGGTTTAGTCTCTTTGTTCCTGCATTATGGTTGGAACGACTGCCATAGTTCAACTTAGAATGAGAGGTTGGAAAAAAGAGGCCCTTGGGGCCTGGAGCACAAGACTGCTTCTCAGCTGCGTTCCTGATTTTTCCATTGTGTCAACACCAGCTTCTGAGCAGAGGGTCCATTCAGAAAGAAAGTGCATCTGAATGGCTCTTCTGGGCCAGAAGGGCAAGAGCCAAAGGAATTCAACCTGCTCCCTAAACCTCAGACAAGGTTGCCAATGCCTAGGGCAGGGAATGATTTCCTGGAGAGAGATGTTGATAAAGTTAGGAGCATGATTAACAAATGTTTCTTGAGCTTGTGTTGTGACTGCCTCATTATGCTAGGGGTGGTGAGGAGTACAAAGAAATTGAAAACATGCCTCCTCCCCACTTAACTTATTTATAATTCCATTTAATAGATAAAAAAATGCACACACTGGAAAGTAACATGGTTTCATGGGTGGAATTCTGCACTTGGAGTCAGGAATGCTGGGATTTGAATCCTGCCTCTGACACTGTTTTTTAATTAAATTTTTTTTCCAATTAAAAAACCTCAATTTTTTTTCTCCTTCCCTAACCCTCCACCGTTTGCCACCACAAAAAGAAAATAAAAACCAAAACCCTGTAACAAATATGCATAGTCAAGTAAAACAATTCCCCTCATTTGTGTATGTCTAAAAATGTATGTCTCACTCTGCACCCAGAGCCCATCACTTCTCTGTCAGAAGGTGGATAATATACTTCATCTTCAATCCCTTAAAATCATGATTGATCACTAAATAGATCAGAGTTCTTATAGCTTTCAAAATTGTTTGTTATTATGTTGTTATTGTACAAATTGTTCAATTGGTTCTACTCACTTCACTCTGCATCCGTTCATACCATTCTTCCTAGGTTTCTCTGAGATTATTCTTGTCATCATTTCTTATAGCACAATGATATTGTATGGTATTAGTGTACCCTGATTTGTTGAGCTACTCCCCAGTTAATGGGCCCCTCCTTTGTGCCCAGTTCTTTGCCACCATAGAATGAGCTGCGATAAATATTTTTCTCTATATGGGTTCTTTTCTTCTTTCTTTGATCTCTTTGAGGTCTACTGTTTCTGACCCTACTTGTGTGATCCTGGGCAGGTCACTTAAGACTCTTAGTGCTCTAGCCCTCACTTCTTAAACTGTGGATCATGACCCCCTATTTAAGAAGTGCTGAAGGGGTCACGAGTGGAAAAAGTTTAAGAAGTGCTACTCTAGGCAACCTCTTAGAACATAAGTTTTGCAGAAGGTGCTAACTTGCATTGGCAGAGGGACTTTGCGCATCCTGAAGTTCCCTATATCAGTAACATCACAAATCTAATCCCTTTCTTATCCCTAGCACCAACCTTACAGGCCTGTTGTGAGGATTAAATTAGTTCCTAGACTTGAAGTGTTTTGTAAATTATAAGCTAGCTATTGCTATATATAAATAAAAAATTAACGAAAAAAACTAAATAAAATTATTTTGTTTAAATTAAATTCTTAATTTTGATAAAATTTAAGTAAATGAATAAAATATTAGCAGTACCAGGCAGTATGAGATTAGGGGCCAAATGAGTGGTATAAACATAAAGTGTTATGGGAGCTCAGAGAGAGGATAGAAGTCACTTCTAACCTAGGTGATCTGGGAAGACTTCATAGAACTAATGGATTTGAGATTGATTTCAAAGGATGAGTGGAATCAAAATAATCAGAGCATCATACAAACACTTGGAAATCTCTCTCTCTCTCTCTCTCTCTCTCTCTCTCTCTCTCTCTCTCATTTAATTCCTTAATGAGAAGAGAGCTGAAGCCTTTTGAGATCACAGCCTTTAAAATGAATTATGATATTTGGAAAGCATGCTGCCTGTCAGCTCTTTGGCTGATTTGGGACCACAGGACCTCCCAGCTAACCATGTGTGTGTCTGCGTATGTTCTCAGCTAATTGCAGGTGCTGAGTCTCAGCAGCCAGTCCCTGGGAGCTCCCCATCTGAAGAAGATCGATCTAAGTCAGCGCCCACCTCCCCTTGTGATCAAGGTGAGAAGCTGTGGTGTTCTTCCCTCAATTTCAAATTGTGCTTTTGAGGAGCTGGCTTGTTCTAATCCTTTTTTTAAAATAAAGTGCTTGGCATATATAGTAGGTTCTCAATAAGTGGTGGATTTAATTAAATGCAGTTTGGAAACCTAAGCCCTATTTTCTCAAAGAAAGAAAGCTTGGGTTAGAATGTCTTACAGTCTGAGGAAGACCTCCATATTCCTTTTTCTCATTCAGTCATTCACCAGATATTTCTGAGGGCCTACTGTGTGTAAGACACTGCATTATTAAGCCCTACCTGAGTAACTGTGCCTTTTCTAAAGCTCATCTCTGCCAGTATAGAGAAGCAGAACATCCTCCAGGTTTACCAGGTTTATGGTCCTTTCTTTCCCCTCTTTTCTTTCTCTTCTCCTGTAACTAGTAGGCAATGAGGTACAGCCCCTTTGCCAGTCTGTATCCATCTTCTACCAAGCTCCCCATGTCTAGGGACCTCCTCGTCACTAGGCTGTTGTGTTCCTTCTCATCATAATTGGCTCTCTACCTTGGAAACAAGACTGGAATAGGCTGAGGTTGGAGGGAGCTGGAGAATCATGTGTCTGAGGACCTTCAGTCCATGCAGTGACTAGTAGATGGCTATGGGGCCTGTGCTGGGCTGGGCTGGGGGAGGCTGGCTTTAGTCTTGATTTGCTATCACAATTTAATTTGGAATTCAAGGAAGGTCATAGGTTTTAGAGCTGGAAGGGAACATCGGATCTGCCTCTTCCCGCATTTTATGGCCGAGGAAACTGAGGCCAGGTAGGTTAAGCGATTTGTCACCTACATAGTAAGAAATGACCCGCAACATGAATCCAGGTCTTCTGACTTAACATTCAGTGTTCTTTCATTTCCCTTCTTGTTTTTAAATTTGTGAGGATTTGACTTGTCCTGGGAAAATATCAGAATGCTAATAAGGTTTCAGTAGGCCTGGGAGTGTCAAATAAATATCACAGAAGTGCCATTTATTCATTCACCAGTTCATTCAACCAGATGCCTGCTATGTAGCAAGCACTGAGTGGGGTGTTTAGATGAGATACAATCCCTGCCCTCATAGAGCTTGAGAGAAGCGTGTGCCTTTCCTGATAACATTAACAGTAATGTTCATTTTTTGCCTTTCAAATCACTGTCCTTTCTTTTTCTTCATGTTAGGTAAGCAGGGCCAATAGTTAATTACTGCTCCCATTATACAGATGGGGAAGCTAGAGCCTGGAGAGGTGAAGGGACTTAGGGTCACACATTGAGTTAGTGGTGGTGGTGAGATTAGAACTCCAACCTCCTGGCTCAGTGTAGCCTAACTTCAGGATAGATCGCATGAAGGTGATTGTAGACTCACTGTAGCTTCTAATGAGGAACTAATTTCACTGCAGGGTTAGCTTGCTAGAATTAGTTCTTCCTTCAGTGTTGAGGAATGCTGGGGAATGAGGGCCTTGAAAGACTGAAGATAATCTTTAATTTAATAAATACTATACCCGAGGCTTTGGAATGAATAGGAGTGATCTCTGGAACTATGTGGATGTTATCATATGAGCATTATAAGATGCCCCCAAGAGAAGCCTCAGGAAAGATGGCATGATTTAGAGTCAGAGAAAGCTGTTCAGATGCTTATAACCTCTGGGCCATTGGCAGATTACTTCACCTCGATAAATAAAGAGGTTGGACCAGTTCTTAAGCTTTATTTATGTCATGTATGCCTTTCGAAGTCTAATAAAGCATAAGGACTTTGTCAAATGTTTCTAAATGTATAAAATAATGTACATAATATTAAAAAGGAAACCCCCCATTTTGAAATGCAGTTACCAAATTAAAAAAAAAATAAGTCTACAAACCTGTAGGTTAAGAACCCCTGGGCCAGATAATGTCTAAGGTCCCTTCAGTTCTAACTCTATGGTCCTATAAAAAAATTCATTTATGATCATTAGGAAGTGTTTTGGGAAGGCTACTGGGACAGGTAGAAGTTAAGAGACTTGTTTGTGAGGGCTCAACTAATTTACTCCATGACCTTTGACAAGTTACGTTGGTTCTGAGCCCCAGTTTCCTCATCTGTCAAGTGAAGATATTAATACCTACCTCACATGGTTAACATGAAGACAGAGAGGAAAAATAGATGGGAGAGCACGTAGAATAATAAAAAGTAGTAGTATTATGTATGCTGGTAGTTGTTGTAGAACACGTGGAAGGCATGTTTTCTGTGATCGCTTGAGGCATTTTGAGGAAACAGCCCATTAGCTTCATGCCTTGCTATCCTAAATCAATGAAGTATCACCCTCCAAAAGCTATTCAGGTTTCAGCATTTAAAACTGGGCTTGTTGCACGTGCTCTCTGGGAGTTTTTCTTCTGGGACTTGCTTTTGTAGGACAGATCCATTTGGAGACAGAAAGCTATGGATTCAGGGAGGGCTGTCACTTTAATGAGAGACGTTCTTTTGTCCCCTAACACTGTGTACCAAGAGTACCAGAAGCATCGTGGTTTAGTGGAAAGAGCCTGGATTTTAGTTAGGGGACCTGGATTTAAAGCCCAGCCAAGTCACTTAGAGCTGTGACCCTGGAAAAGTCATACCTTCTCTGGGCTTTGGTTTCCTCATCTTTAAAATGGAGGAGTTAGACCAGATAACCTCTAAGGCCCCTTGTAGTTCATATTATGACCTGCACTTACAGAAGCAGTTTCAAAGCTGGAATTCCAATGTGTCTATATAGGCACATCCTGATTCATTCACTAGAACTGATGATTTCCAAATCGGTAGGATAAATTCTAGGGGAAAACCAAACATATACACATTTGGGTCTTTGGATGAAAAGTCACAGATCCTTTACCTGAGTGGTGTCTTGTAAAAGCAAAACCTTATCTTGATCTCAAAGGGTTAGTAATTCTGTGTACCTCTTCCAGTAATCCTATTTATTCATAGACATATTTTGAAATCAGATTATGCTGAAGATGTCCATTTTGGCACAGTCTAGTGTGTGCCTTTGGTTAACAAGTAGCGAACAATAAAGCTTCTTCAAATATAAAAGGTCAAAGGATTAACTGGTGTTATCATATGCATATAATGTATGTCGTAACAGAGAGAAAAAGATAATTTGTTCTTGCAAAAATCTCCTAAATGTGTGGAAGGATTCCTACCATGTGTGTGAGATAATCTTCTGTCCGTCCATACATACTGGGGGATGATTCTATTGTTACTCGTAAGTCATTGTTCATCTTCCAAATAGGTAACTGGGGCAAATCCAAGAACAAAGCAAAGCAAAGTCATTGAGATGAGACCTCTTTGAAAATAGGGGTATCAGCTGTGATTTGCTCTTCTCAGTTAGTAGTCATGATTATTCTTGTCACTATTTTTAGATTCTAGAATAGGACCTGCTAAGCTTGTTATTGTAGGCGTGTCACAAGGCTCTGAGGTCTAACTAGAGCCTCATCTTGTCTTCCTGTATAGACTACTGGGCAACCAGGCCCTGTATGAAATGTGTTACTATCCAATGCCCCTGCTTGTTGTGATCCTAGGGTCTAAAGTAAATCCAAAGGTGGAACACTTTGGACCAGTGGCACTGTTTGAGGAGAGAGGAGGGAAGGAAGTCTAGGGATGAGGAGGGGAGGAAGCTTGAACATTGGAAGGACAAGGAGGCCACCGGAGTTGTCTGCTTAATTCCGTGATTTGTCACCCTTGTTCTCAGAAATCAAAGAACTTGAAAACAACATTAGGAAGGCCTTGTCATTTGACAATCGAGGGGAGGAGCACCGGGCGGCGGCGTCAACAGATGGTCAACTGGCCAGCCCTGGAGAGAACGGTGAGGTCCGGCAGAGCCAGACGAAGCGAATGGGCCTAGAAGAGTTCAACTTCATCAAGGTGTTAGGCAAAGGAAGCTTTGGCAAGGTGTGTGCTGTCAGTGATTCCTCTGATTTTGCTTAACCGGGTGTTCACCTTAGTTCAACAAACATTTCTGAAGGACTCACTGTATTCAAGGCATTATTGCCTCGTTTACACTCTCTAATGCTGCGTCGCCTTGGGCTCAACTAGGTCCTGTGAAGTTTCCTTCCTATTAGAGTCAGCTGGGTAACCTTAGTCATGTCATTTAAACAATAATCTGCAAAATTAGGAAATTAATACTTTCCTTCTCTTTACCCTTAAAGTTTTTTGTTTTTGTGTCTGTATTTTCTGTTTGTTTTAGTGATGTCCAAATAAGGTAAATGATATAAAAACATTTAGGAAAGTTAAAGTATATATATGCATATATATACACACACATATATCTCTATATATGTATGCATGTTATATATATGTGTGTGTGTGTGTGTATACACACACACACACATGCACATATATGTGTGTATGTGTGTGTATAGTCTAGTCATCTCTCTTTTTCTTCCTTTTCCTGTATCTCCTCCTCCTTTCTTATGTACTATTCCTCCTTCCTTTGACCAGGGGTCAGTCTGAAGTCTTGCTTTTAATCCACTGCAGTCTTTGTAAATGTTCCTGTGAACTTTATGATTTTCTCCTAAGTGGGTCTACCTGAACAAGCCCAGCCCAACATTAGCCTCATTTTGTCCACATCAGAGAATATATATCGCCCATTTTCCCCCTCTCTCTGTGTTGGGCTCTGGCCTGAGTACTATATGAAGCATGTTACAAGGTGAGGTCCCTATCCTTTATGAGCTTGCGGTCTAAAGGAAATCTAAAAATAGACTAGTTTATGAGGGAAATGTAGTTTGCCATTCACTTTTAGCACTTGTCTCTGCATGTGGCAGGAATACTAATAACCCACAAGTCTTAGAGCAAGGAGAGGCAGCTTCCCATGTTTTGGGTAGATACTCGATGGAGGATTAATGGAAAGACATGAGCAAGAATCCCATAGGCATGAAGAAGGATTATGATCTGTAACAGGGGATGGATTACTCACATGGATGAGATCATGGGTCCATCCAAAGCAATAAAAGGGGTGTCCTCTGGCTTAGGCTTTCCCTGATCTTTTTATATCTCCCAAGTATGTGAACGCAAGGATAGGTGATACAGATCCAATGTCCCACTTGCATAAGGCAATTTATGATAATGGAGCAATCCTCATGATGGTCTTACCTGTAGATATAGATAATAATAATGCTCATTTTAGATGGGATAGATCGAAAGCCTAAGAAATAGATCAGGGTTTGGACTCCAACCCTTGACCCCCTTCATAACCACAACCCCTAGACCTAATCTGGGGTCATCGTGTATCTCTCTAAACCATGGATTGCACAGGGAGCTAATGGAGCTGACCATCCAGAAATCTAAAGAGCAGAGACACTGAGGTTCTGGAGACAAGCAGACTAGCCCTGGCAGAGCAAGAGGAGACACGTTATGGCAAGTCCTGAACACTTGAAAGCCCTAGTATGCAGGTCAGCTGGCTTTCTTGACATATGGCCCTGTTCCATGTCTCTCCCACTGACCACCTCAAAGAGAATGAATGCATGCAATTGCTCCAGAGTCCTTGGGGCTATTTTTCCAGGTCTCTTGCCTCCCTCTATCTGACCCTGAAATCTCAGGGGCAGGGCCAGGATGGGAGCCTTCACCTTACTAGATGGTAATTCCTGAAGTAGCTGCATTCTTTAGACAGGCTAAAGAAGATCTGGACCACAGTACTGGGACCAGGCTTAGCTCCATGCACTGAAACCGTTGCCAGAAATTGGGCTTAATATTCCTCATTCTAAGCATATGATACCAGCACTGGGAGAGGAAAATTAGACAATTCATAGTTTCCATGTAGTAAAGATAGAATGTGTGTGTTAACCATATAAATCTATCACCTATATTTTTAGGGGAAAAAAACCCACACAGCTCAAGCTTAAGCCAGTTTTGAAGAATGTGGGTTATGTGCAGGTGATCACAGGTCTTTAGGCTACCATCATGAATCCCCTAATTAGGTTTTTAAGTTGTTGGATTCAATTGGATAATGCCCATGACATTTCATAATTCAAATGGGAATAAAAAGAACCTTTCCTACCTGCTATGTAAAAGCAGTATGGTATAGTGGGGAAAGAGTTAGACTGGGAGGCTTGGATTCAAATCCTAATGCTCACTAGCTGTTTGACCACAGGCAAATTACTTAACCTTTCTGAGCCTTTGTTTTCTCATCTGTCAAATGGAGAAAATAATCTTTGCATTACCAATCTAAGCGGATCATTGTGAAGAAAGTGCTTTGTAAACACTGTTGTGCTATATAAATGTGAATTAGATAAATAAAATTAATATGATTAACTTTTGTATATATGATAAAATTTTGTTATTTACAAAGAAATAGGTCTTTAAGTCACTTATCTTTGGCTGATGTGTTTTTTTTTTTCCTGGGTGTCTAGGTATAGGAATACTTAACCTAAATATTTTGCTTGGTTTCAGGTGATGCTAGCAGAGCTCAAGGGCAAAGATGAGGTGTATGCTGTGAAGGTCCTAAAGAAAGATGTCATCCTTCAGGATGATGATGTAGATTGCACCATGACAGAAAAGAGGATTCTAGCCCTAGCACGAAAACACCCCTACCTAACACAACTCTACTGCTGCTTCCAGACTAAGGTAGGGTGGGTCAGCAAGCCATATGACCTTCTCCTTGGAGGAGAAGGTAGAAAAAGGTAGAAGAGTGTTTGAAGTATCACTGTGTACTGTGTCTACAAAGAATTTATGAGCATGGTGGGTTCCTTCCTTGGAAAGACCAGTGTAACCTTGGATGGAATTTTTCTTTGAAAGCAGAGTTAATCTAATTAGCCATGTGGGAATGAAAGGATCCTGGCAACAGCTGAGTTCCCTTGTGGTAGAACTGGGCCATGCCATGTGATCTAACTCCTGGTTTGATGGAAGATACACTGGGCTAAAATGAAGATGATCTGGGATCTAGTCCCAGCCCTGCTGCTGGCTTACTTTGTGACCCTAGAGAATTCCATGAGCCTCCTCAGGCCACAATTTCTTCACTAGTCTGGCAAAGATTTCATTAAATCTGCCCGACATTTTCCCCATATGATGAGGAACAGATCATAGAAGTGAAAACATTTTGTTAGTTATGATACTAATAAATTATAATTGAAGCATTATTCAATGCTATAACATGTTGAGGCAGGTACCAGAAGATGGCAGTAAAGAAACAAAGATGTTGTGGACTGATCAGCCATACAAGCTGTAGTAGAAAATGAAAATTTCAAGCTATTAGAACTTTTTTTCTGTTCAGCTCAAGGGTGAGATCAAGATGTGATGAATGGTGGGAAAAGCACTAAATTGGGAGTTGGGACACTTGGGTTCTAGTTCCTCTTCTGCCACTAACTAGTGAACTAGTTGTGTGAATTTGGCCAAATCCTTCAGTCTCCCCAGGGCTCATTTTCTTTGTCTGCAAAAGAGTAGGGTGTATAGTTCATATTGATTGAGGCTCCTCCTCCATAGGTCTCTGGTGATGGGGACGGGTAAATGGGGTGCAGGGGGAGATGGCTACCAATATGGTAACAAGGACTTTGTCTAACTCTGGCATGGCTGTGGTTCCCAGGAGACCCAATGTGTAACTCAGAATTTGTTCTGAATATAGAATTGTGTTGGACGCCTCTCCTTGTATTTACGAAAGCAGAGAAGCAAAACCAGCACGGAGGTTAAGGGACCTTTTTGTGTTCCTCTGTAGATCATGCTTTCCCACCTTGTATTGACTTTTGTGGTGTATTTCTACCGGTCCTTTCACAACTACCTCTCACCTTTCCAAAGTTATGAGAAATCATCTTTCCACCACCCATTTTGTACCGCCACTAAACTACAGAGTACAGATGGACTTCACTTCATGTAACACACACACACAGTCCTGAAAAGTTGCAAGCAATAACATTCTTGTAAAGTGAATCATTTTTTTTTGAAATTCACTAAGCTAGCTTAAAAGTATAAAGTAGATTAAAAGAACCCCATGATGAAAACTTTTATAAAGCAAATAATCACCATATAATTAATCCTTTTTTGAGTAAATATGAATTTTCTTATCATATCCATCAGTCAGCAATGGGATAGAAAAAAATAGTAGATTTGGAGCCAGAGGGAGACAGAGTGATATAGGAGAAAAGGTACAGGGTTTGAATTCAGAAGACTTGGGTTCCAACTTCAGCTGTGTTGTTTACTGTCTGTCTGACCTTGGACAAATCACTTATTCACTCTAGGCATCAATTTCCTCATTTGTGAAGAGATGGGAGTTGGATTTGACAGCTTCTAACTACCTTTTAGCTTTAAGTGTTGTGATTCTGTTTACTGAGTTCCTGCTTTTTGCCCAGCACTCTGAAATTCCAAGAGAAGAAGACTAAGTCCTTTCCACTGAACTTATAGTCTAGGACAGAGATGTCATGCAACACTCCCCAGTGTTTGGCCTTTGATTGGGGGACCATTAAAAAAAAGACTCAAGGGGGCGGAAAAAAACTTCAACAGAAACGAAAAAGGGCCTATATATAGTCTCAGACTCATTTCTATAGAGAGACACCTTTGTATCAATGGGCCCCTTCAGGGAACCACACGATTCCAAGAATGACAGCAAACAGGGACAGGAATGGAACAGTAAGACTCTTCTGGGCCAAGCTGGGATATGTACGAATGTGAGCAGAGATGAGTATAATGGCAGAGAAGTTCCTGGACCAAGCCAAAGATTGGGTTCAAGCCAGAACCTGTGGGAACCAGAAAAAGCAGTGAAACACTGAGTCAGGATGAGGAATATACCTGAACTTTTACTATCAGTGGTATTGTGAGTCATATGGACTGTGTAGGTCTAGTGGGAATGGTGATGATGATAGGAGAGACTGACTACACACCTAGGTGCTTACCTTTTGCCAGAGGGTTTTTAGGTATCTCTGGGTTAGTGCGTTAGGTCTGGAGAGATGCACAGGCCCACCACAGGGGACGACCACTTGGCCTTTCCTTGTGGGGCCTTTATTTAAGGTCGTATTCTAAGTTAGTTGAGTTGGATAGGGCCTTGGGGAAGTCAGAAGGAGAGAGAGAGAATTGTCTTCATTATTTATGGACTTAGCTTTTATTAGTCATGTGAAACAAATCCTATTCTATACTTGGTGTTTAGTTAGCCTGAGCTCTTCAATGGGAGCTTAGGGTCCTCCTTTTCTCATTCTTGTACAGCCCTCGACAGGAGCCAGGGTGTGCCGTTCTCCCTTAGAGGAGCTAAACATGAGCCGGTTTTTGATGGTACCAGGAGCTACCTGGATATGGGCAAACATGAATTGAATTCTGATGGTCCATAGGAAAATTCCAGGTTGGGGCTTAAGCTAAAGAGGTTTGTTGGTCCTGGAGGTGGACCGCATTTATATTTCTTCCTCTGTTTGGAAAGTTTGTCTTTATCTCCATTTGTGTAAATCCTTCCCTTCCTCTAAGCAACAGTGCAGGTATCACCTCCAAAATTAAGCCTTTCTTACTTGAGAACCTAATCAGGAAATTTAGTATTCCCTGACTGAGAATTATCTCTATAATTTAGGATTATGCTAAATACTTTACCTCCTTCTCAAACTTTCTTGCAGTATTTTGCCTGAACTTTCTCTTGGCCTTTATCCCTTTCTGCCTTGTGGCATGTTTATTGCTATATAGGGTGTGTATACTAGATGGTAAGCTCCTTGAGGGCAGGGACTGTGCTATTTGTTAATTTTTTGTGTCTGTGAGGCCTAGCAGAGTCCCTTTCACATAATAGGCACTGCCTGGGCAATGCCTAAATGGTTTTTGAATTGAATGCCTGTTGTTCAGTCATTTCAGTTGTGTCTGACTCTTTGTGACCCCATTTGGGGTTTTCTTGGCAAAGATACTGGAGTGGTTTGCCATTTCCTTCTCCAGTTCATTTTACAGAGGAGGAAACTGAGGCAAACAACATGATGTGACTTGCCCAGGGTCACACGTCTGGAGTCTGAGATTGGATTTGAACTCAGGTCTTCCTGACTCCAGGCCTGGCAATCTATCCACTGCACCACCTAGGTGCCCTAACATTTACATTTATAAAAATGACATTTACAAGGTATTCATTTTTAATTATTTGAAGAAATGCCACAGATTTGTGAGAGAGTTTTTTTGTTTGTTTGTTTATAGATGTTGCTTTATTCCAGAACTTATTCCAAAACTTAGTACAGCACTAGGGTAGTAGGAAGAGCATTGGACCTAGGATCAAAAGGCCTGGCTGGGATCGAATCCTGGTGCTACATAAGCACATTGCCTATGTGACAATAAATATGTCATGTCAGTTCTCTGAACTGTTCACTTATTCATAAAATGTGTATCGATAATGAAATTTGTCTTGCTAAATGACCCTCATCAGGTCATGAGGAAGGCACATAAAAGTGGAGATTTTGTTATTCTCATTATGAATACAAGTGAGGCAAATATTTAGTGAGAACTGAAAATAGACCAGTTCAGTAGTGGACCATCACTGAAGATTTTAAGGTTAAGCTGGTTAACTCCTTCTTGGAGATGCTGTAGGAAAATGAATTTGTGCCTCAGATCCTAGGCCAAATTGAACTAGGTGACTTCTAACTCCAAGATTGTGTTACCTTCTGACTATAGAACCAAAGGTTCACTAGTATAGTTGAGATGGTTAATAATGAAGAACTTCACATGGTACAGAATGAGACATATATTTTGAACATGACCAATACGGGAATGTGTTTTGCTTGATTATGCATATTCATTACAAGGTTTTGTTTTTGTTTTCTTTTTTCTTTTCCTCCAGGGGAAGGTTGGAGGGAGAGATGAGAGATTTTTATTAATTGAAAAAATAAAATTTAATTCAAAAAACTTTAAAAAATACTAAAGGAGCTAAGAAAAAGGAGAGTCTTGGGGGCTGAGTTCAGTCAAGAAGGTAGGCCTCCTACAAGGCCTTGAAGAATGAATGCACATTGTACAGACAAAGAAGACGGGGTGGGAGAGGGAGAGGAGAAGGAGAAGACTGTATTCTCCTGGCTGCACTTCACTAGACTTGGACTCAGGTTTCCTCTGCCAAGTATGTACCTTTCCCACCGTGAACTTGGTTTTGACTTGGATGCCGTCATCTCATTAAGGAAAGCAAACATTTGCTTTCAATCCTATTAAGATTTCTTTCACTCTTGTTTGTTTATCACACACAAGGCAATAATCATGTTAAGTACAGATTTAATTATTTTAGAGGGATTATTTTTATTTAGAAACGTAGGAATAAATGTCACCTAGGAAAACATTCCTTTGAGAATTCTCCTCCCCATTGCATAAGTCTGAATGCTGAGAAGAAGCTGTTGAGTGTGTCTGGTGAGCCCTGCTCCCTGGCTAACCTTCAAAGGGAGCAGGTATGGGGCCCTGTTCTATGCTACTCCAAGAGAGTCTTGGAGGTCAGTTCTATAAGCCCATTGACATCAACATGGAGGACAGGTGTTATGTTTTATCTGCAGGTCACCAAGCGATCATTAAAAAGGGGGATCCATTTGTGAGGAAGACTGCTCAGGTTCTAGTCTCCCCTCAGCATCTGGAAGAGGAGAAACCAAATGAAATATCACTGATTTTCCAGAGCTGATAGACATGGCCAACGATCGCAGTAGCGATAGAAGCCC